TTTCTTTGCATTAGGAACATTCCTATTCTACTCTTTTAGTTATTTTAAAGTATGCCCTAATTTGTCAATTATAGTCACTTTGTTGTGCTATCAAATATTGTTCATTCTGTCTAATTAACTATATTTTTCCATCCTTACTTTATCTCCCCCTCCCTGCTACTCTTCCTATCCTCTGGTAACCATCATTCTACTCCCTGTCTCCATGAGATCAATTGTTTTAATAGTTAGGTTCCACATATGAATGAAACTATGCAAGGTTTATCTTCCTGTGCTTGGCTTATTTCACTTAATTTAGTGTTTTCTAGTTCTATCCATGTTGCAAATGACAGGATTTCATTCTTTTTTATGAGTATATAATATTTCATTGTGTATATGTACCACAATTTATTTATTTATTTATTTTTATTTCAGCATATTATGGGGGTACTAATGATTAGGTTACGTATGTTGCCCTTGCCCCCCTCACCCCTCTCTGCGGGGTCAGAGCTTCAAGTGTATCCATTCCCCAGATGGTGTGCGTTGCACTCATTATGTATGTATATACCCATCCCCTCCTCCCCCCTTGCATCTGCCAGACGCCTGATAAATGTTATTCCTATATGTCCACTTAGGTGTTGATCACTGAAACCAATTTGTGGTGAGTACATGTGGTGCTTATTTTTTCATACTTGGGATACTTCACTTAGTAGAATGGGTTCCAGCTCTATCCAGGAAAATACAAGAGGTGCTGTATCACCATTGTTTCTTATATCTGAATAGTACTCCATGGTATACATAAAGCACATTTTATTAATCCACTCATGTATTGATGGGCACTGGGGTTATTTCCACATCTTTGCAATTGTGAATTGTGCTGCCATAAACATTCGAGTGCAGGTGTCTTTATTATAGAATGTCTTTTGTTCCTTTGGGTAGATGCCTAGTAGTGGAATTGCTGGATCAAATGGTATTTCTATTTTTAGTTCTTTGAGATATCTCCAAATTACTTTCCACGGGGGTTGTACTAATTTGCAATCCCACCAGCAGTGTAAGAGTGTTCCTATCTCTCCACATCCATGCCAGCATTTGTTATTTTGGAACTTTGTGATAAAGGCTATTCTCACTGGAGTTAGGTGATATCTTCTTGTGGTTTTGATTTGTACTTCCCTGATGATTAGAGATGTTGAACACATTTTTATGTGCTTGCTGTCCATTATTCTGTCTTCTTTTGGAAAGTTTCAGTTCATGTTCTTTGCTCACTTTTTGATGGGGTTATTTGATTTTTTCTTGTTAATTTTCTTAAGTTCTATATAGATTCTTGTTATCAGCCCTTTATTGGATGTGTAGCATGCAAATATTTTCTTCCAGTTTCTAAGGATAGTTCCCTTGGCTATGCAGAAGCTTTTTAATATGATCAGGTCCCATTTATTTATTTTTGTTGCTGCTGTGATTGCTTTGGGGGTCTTCTTCATAAATGCATTGCCTAGGCCAATGTCTATAAGAGTTTTCCAAACATTTTTTTCTAGAATTCTTAAGGTTTCACGTGTTAGGTTTAAATCTGTTATCCTTCTTAAGTTGATTTTTGTGAGATGTGAGAAATGGGGATCCAGTTTCAATCTTCAGCATGTGGTTATCCAGTTTTCCTAGCAACATTTATTGAATAGAATACACTTTTCCCTAGTGTATATTTTTGTCTGCTTGTCAATGATTAGATGACAATATGAGGATGGTTTTATATCTAGGTTCTCAGTCTTGTTCCAAAAATCTATATCTCTCTTCTTGTGCCAGTACGATGCTGTTTTGGTTACTATAGCCTTATAGTAAAGCTTGAAGTCTGGTAGACTGATATGACATAATCAGAACTATGAAAGACTGAGAAAAGAAATTGTAAAAGATATAAATAGATGGAAAACTCTACCATGCTCATGGATTGGCAGAATCAATATTGTTAAAATGTTCATACTGTAAGGTTTTTCAGCGGTGGCGAAAAGAAAAGAGACACAGAAAGAGAAAGAGTGGGGGGCCAAACCACGTGGCTTTATTATACACTCGTGGACGAGGTTCTGGGGCCCCAAGAGCGGGAAGATATGCATCACAGCAACATCAATCTCCTGGCTAAGGCTGATCAAATGGTATTTCTACTTTTTCAGTTCTTTGAGAACCCTCTCAAAAATTACTTTCCACAGGGGTTGTACTAATTTGCAATCCACCAGCAGTGTAAGAGTGTTCCTATCTCTCCACATCCATGCCAGCATTTGTTATTTGGAACTTTGTGATAAAGGCTATTCTCACTGGAGTTAGGTGATATCTTCTTGTGGTTTTGATTTGTACTTCCCTGATGATTAGAGATGTTGAACACATTTTTATGCTTGCTGTCCATTATTCTGTCTTCTTTTGGAAAGTTTCAGTTCATGTTCTTTGCTACTTTTTGATGGGGTATTTGATTTTTCTTGTTAATTTTCTTAAGTTCTATATAGATCTTGTTATCAGCCTTTATTGGATGTGTAGCATGCAAATATTTTCTTCCAGTTTCTAAGGATAGTTCCCTTGGCTATGCAGAAGCTTTTTAATATGATCAGTCCCATTTATTTATTTTTGTTGCTGCTGTGATTGCTTTGGGGTCTTCTTCATAAATGCATTGCCTAGGCCAATGTCTATAAGAGTTTTCCAAACATTTTTTTCTAGAATTCTTAAGGTTTCACGTCTTAGGTTTAAATCTGTTATCCTTCTTAAGTTGATTTTTGTGAGATGTGAGAAATGGGGATCCAGTTTCAATCTTCAGCATGTGGTTATCCAGTTTTCCTAGCAACATTTATTGAATAGAGATTCTTTTCCCTAGTGTATATTTTTGTCTGCTTGTCAATGATTAGATGACAGTATGAGGATGGTTTTATATCTAGGTTCTCAGTCTTGTTCCAAACATCTATATCTCTCTTCTTGTGCCAGTACGATGCTGTTTTGGTTACTATAGCCTTATAGTAAAGCTTGAAGTCTGGTAGACTGATATGACATAATGAGAACTATGAAAGACTGAGAAAAGAAATTGTAGAAGATATAAATAGATGGAAAACTCTACCATGCTCATGGATTGGCAGAATCAATATTGGTAAAATGTTCATACTGTAAGGTTTTTCAGTGGTGGCGAAAAGAAAAGAGACACAGAAAGAGAAAGAGTAGGGGGCCAAACCACGTGGCTTTATTATACACTCGTGGACGAGGTTCTGGGGCCCCAAGAGTGGAGGCCCCGGAAGTCACCGCAGTTTGAAGGGACTGAGGCCTTTTGTACCCTTTGGGCGGGGCTGGGGACTTGTGGTGGGAAGAGCTGGGATTCTCTATTGTGACCTTGGATGGTCATTGAGAAATAGGAGGGGCTGGAGGTATTTGTGGAATCCAGGAGTGAATCCAGGTGGAGATCTGGGTGTGGTTCCTCTCAGTGGGGCCTGGCAGTTTGTCCTTGGCAGGTCAGGTCACTAAGCGTTTTCTTTTTCCATCTAGGGAGGGGAGGGGGCCCCAGCCACCAGCCTTACACATACTACCTAAAGTAATCTATAGAAGTAATGCAATCCCTATCAAAATACCATGATCATTCTTTACAGATCTAGAAAAAATAATTCCACACTTCATATGGACCACAGAAGACTTTGTATAGCCAAAGAAATCTTAAAGAAAAATACAGATTTGTCTTTTAATCTTCCTACTCAGGATATGAGGGATTTATACACTGCAGTTAGAGCAATAGAGTATTCTGTATTTGTATACTTATTGTTACCTGTGAGTTTCATACCTTCAGATGATTTCTTAGTGTCCATTAATGTCATTTTCTTTTGTATTGAATAATTCATCTTAGCATTTCTTGTAGGACAGGTCTGGGGTTGATGAAATCCCTCAGCTTTTGTTTGTCTGGGAAAGTCTTTATTTTTCCTTAATGCTTGAAGGATATTTTTGCAGGATATAATATTCTAGTGTTAAGGTTTTTCTCCTTTTGCACTTTGAATATGTCATGCCACTCTCTTCTGGCCTGTAAGATTTCCACTGAGAAGGCTGCTGCCAGATGTGTTGGTGGTCTTTTATATGTTATGTTTTTATTTTTGTTTTCCTTTCTCTCTCTACCTCCATTTTTTCTTTAAAAGAGTCTTTCTCTGTTGCTACAGTGCCATGGCATCAACCTAGCTCACAGCAACCTCAAACTCCTGGGCTCAAGCGATCCTCCTGTCTCAGCCTCCTGAGTAGCTAGAACTACAGGTGTGTATCACACCTGGCTAATTTTTTCTTTTTCTGTTTTTAGTTGTCTGGTTAATGTCTTTCAATTTTTAGTAGATACAGGGTCTTGCTCTTTCTGAGGCTGTCTTGAATTCCTGACTTCAAGTGATCCTCCTACCTCGGCATCCCAGAATGCTAGGATTACAGGTGTGAGCCACCACACCTAGCCTCTACCTCCTTTTTATGGCCAATAACTCTTAGATTTTCCCTTTTGATGCTATTTTCTCCATCTTGTAGCCATGCTTTATTCTTTTTTCTCTTTTCACTATGTATTTTTAAATAGCTTGTCTTCAAGCTAACTGAATGTTTCTTCTGCTGCTCAGTTCTGTTGTTGAGAGACTCTAATGCATTTTTCAGTTTGTCAATTGTCAGTTCATAATTTTGGAGGTTGAGATTTGTGCTGAATGCAAAATACAGGTGTGAGGAAGGAAACCAAGATACATGTTATGGCATGAATGAAATGAACTTTGAGGACATTATGCCAAGTGACATAAGGTAGTCACCAAAGGACAAACACTGTATGATTTCACTTATGTCAGGTACCTCAAGAAGTCAAATTTATAGAGACAGGGAGTAGAATGGTGGTTTCCAGGGGTGGAGGGAGGGGTAATGAGGAGTTATTGGTGAATGGGCACAGAGTTTCAGTTTTGCAGGATGAAAAGCGTTGTGGAGATCAGTGGTGGTGATGGTTGCCCAACAATGGGAATGTACTTAATGCCACTGAACTGCACACTTGAAAATGGTTAAGATGGTAAATTTTATGTTATTTGTATTTTGTGTTACATGTATTTCACCACAATTAAAAATAAAAAGAAATCCCAGTGTGCCCGTAGGGTATAGATGGCAGGAAGCATTAAGATGTAGAGGTTCTGGTAATGACAACGGAGTTGGGGTGGGGGCAGGCTGGTAGAGGACAGCCAGGAGGAGCAGGGGGGTGGCACGGCAGGACAGCACGTGCATCAGAGGGGCAGGCTTTGCCGGGGGCTGGAGTGGTGGTCTGGGTGTCGTGATGGGGGGTGAGGAGGACTCCCATCCCACCTGTCTCCGAGATAAGGTGGTATGAGTAGGAACAGCACCAGTTCACAGGTGGCAGGAGAAGCAGTGTATTTAGGGGACAGCGTCTTTGAGGCAAGGAAGCAGAGCCAAGAATCCAAGGAGAGACGGAGAATATCAGGATGCCCCAGGGCCCAGCAGGAGCACAGGGTGGTGGAAGTTGTGGAGCACGTGGTTCAGCAATGAATTTGAGATCGGGAGGATCTCATGGCTTCACAGCCTCAGTCTGCTGGTGCTGAGGTGTCAGCAAGGGCGCTGAGGCTTGGCGACGTGCCAGAGTCCCTGGTAGTGGGATCAGGTGTGGGCCTAGCAATGTCCTTCTGAAGGCTCTGCTTTAAGGGTTGGCGGTGGAGGGGATTGATTTACAAGTTGTGAATTCTGTGGTCCCAGATGGTTAGAGACGGGCTCCAGAGGGCCCCCCACTCTCCATCCTATGGCCACGCCAGACATCACAGCCTGAGCGTGATGCCCTTTCCTGACACATTCAGACATGAACTGAGATTCCTTCTCCACATAATTCCCCATAGAGCCAAACCACAAACCTACTCACCAGCCTTGACTTAGGCCAACATGTTTATTTTGTGGTCAAGGAAGCTGAGGTTAAGAGAGGGCAAGTGATTGGCCCAGGCCAGGATGGGAGCAAAATTCAGATTTCCTGTTTTCCATACCACTGTGGGACATCTGCTAGCTCAGGGGTCTAATGGGGTATTGATGGAGGGCTGAGCACTGCTCACGAGCTGCCCTAAAGGGTTAGCCATAGAGAAGGATCAGGCATGGAAACAATTCACCAAAGAAGAAAGGGTGGGAGTGAGATAGTGAGGGAAAGAATGAGAGAGCAGTGAGAGGCCAAATGGAAACCCAGGCAGCCAAGCACCTCTGACTCATACTCGAGCCGTGGAAGGACCAAGCGGAGCAACTGCCTTCCCTTCCCCCTTCCCAGAGAGATCAGAGGCTCTGTGGCATGTGGGTGGACCAGTTCAGCTTCCAGTTAGTTCCAGGTCATTCTGAAAAGGGGATTAAAAGGAAAGCAAACCTGTCTTTTAATATGGAGAAAGCACTGAGAATGGACTGGACTGGTAGCTCCTTTTCCTCCTAGCTGGAGATATAAAAACCACAAAACCACATTCCGGAGCTCTGTTGGAAGCCTGGGTGGCTTTATGTGGTCTGACAAGGTAAATTTTTTGTTTTCATTTTTAAAACTGATCCAAAATGTGAAGACTTCAATGATAGGGCAGTCATTCGTCCCTTCCCATCCAATAGAAGTTGACATGAGGAAGCTAGGAAGAGGACGATGTTTCTGATCCTAGGGTCCCAATTGGGTATGTGTGGCTCCTCCTGTATCTTCCTCTCATACCTCTGCGTCCTAATCTCCTCCTCTTATGAGGACTCCAGCAAGACTGGATTAGGGTCCACTAGTGACCTCATTTTACCTTAATTATCTGTTTAAAGACCTTAACCAGGGTCAGAAAGAAGGACCCCTCTTTTGGAGGGTCTTCAGCAGTAGAAGAGGGCAGTCAGGACACGAACATTTAGGAAACTTTACATTGCTCAAAAAAGCTGCTTTTAGGCAATCACGATATGCATATTATATGCATAGTTGACAATAAACAGGGCCACATCTGGGATGAATGTGTAAAGTCTTCTACGCCCTCCAACTCCAGGTAGCCTCTGGATTTCTTAGATTTCTGAAATGTCCTGGTCCGTGATAAGAAACATCCCTGGATTTATCTAGTTTAACCCAAACCCTACAGAACTCCCCAGGGGTGCAGAGCTGCAGGGAGTGCAGGGTCTGGGAACCATCCTAACCCCTGGTGTCTGGGGCTGGCTGGGCCCGACTCTGCCCTCTCCACCCCATCTCTCTTTTCCATTTGCTTTCCAAATCCATTTGAGTCTCAGCGTGTATCTGAACAAATCTTGGGGGAAGGCCGCACAACCTCTCTAGGATACAGAATTTGGAGTCCAGCTGCCCTGGAACAATCCTGAATCCTTTGCGCCCATCTGGCAAACGCTGAGTACACTGTGTGTCCCCATCCAGCAGCTGTGCCCAGGGGCTCCTTTCTTCTAAGGAGCTAGAATCTTCCTGTCTCAGACTCTGGCCCTATGTTATGGGCTGACTCCCCCCACTCCACCAATTTGTATGTTGAAACTCTAACCCCCAGGACCTCAGAATATGACTGCATTTGAAGGTAGGGCCTTTGGATAGGTGATTAAGGCAAAATGAGGTCATTAGGGTGTGTCCTAATCCCATATGACTGGTGTTGTACAAGAAGAGGAGATTAGGACCCAGACATGCACAGAGGGAAGACCATGTGAAGACAGAAGCCACCTGCAGACCAAAGAGAGAGACCCCAGGAGAAACCAACCCTGCTGACACCTTAATCTCAGACTTCTAACCTCCTGGACAGTGAGGAAATGAATTTCTAATGTTGAAACCAACCAGCCTAGAAAACGAACATGCCACATCTAGGAACGTTTTGTAAAGTGGACAGAGGGGCCATGTCTTAGCACACGTCCCTCTGGGGGACTCCAGGGCAGGGTGTGTGGTTGGAGGGGCTGTCTGCGTGAGCTCTCTGTGGAAGGAGACAAGCTGTCCCCTCACCCTCTAACCCCTGCTGAATACACACGTGCACACACAGGAAGGTGACACGGAAAGGGCAGGGTCGGAACGCGCATCCTGTTCCTAGCTGCCTGTGTCCAGGTCTCTGAGATGGGCAGGGTGAATGGCCGCCCCATCACTGAAGTCCTTACATTTTGGATCCTTTTTAAAAATGAAAACAAACAAAACAAAACAGAGATTAGCTCGTCGGACCACACAAGGCCACACAGGCTTCCACCAAAGCTCAGGAGTCTTTCTAGAGCAGCCACCGACACGCGTGACCTTCAGCAGAGCCCACGGGGAGCAACTGATTCACCTGCGAGCAGATGTTTCCTGCTGGACCCCAGGAGAGTCTTGAGCCCGTGCGGAGCTATCCTGTGCCAACTGGAGCCTGTGTAATCTAGCTGCCCTGTCCTGGCCGTCATCCAAGCCTGGGGCACAGTAATGAGTAACTGAGCTTCCTCCAGGAGGGAGGGAGGAAACAGTTAAAGTTGCAGCAGCTGTAATCACGCAGGCGTGGCTCTCTCGTCCACTTGGGCTGTGCAGATCCCGGGCCAAAAGGCAGAGGAAGGGCAGCTTCCACGGCAGAGCTTCCCAGATGGCGGAGTTGGATCTCATGGCTCCAGGGCCACTACCCGGGGCCACTGCTCACTCTCTGGCCCCTCTCAGCCCAGACTCGGGGCCGGCCAGCCCAGCAGAAGAAGAGGACGTGGGCTCCCTGGAGAGGCCTGATGGGGAGGCTGAGCGACAGGAAGGCGGCTCTGCAGAGCAGGGGGGCCCTGGAGGTGAGGAGGAGGAGGAGATCCTGTGTGATTTCTGTCTGGGCACCAGCAGGGTGAGGGCGGTGAAGTCCTGTCTGACCTGCATGATGAATTACTGTGAAGAGCACCTGCGGCCGCACCAGGAGAACAGCAAACTGCACAGCCACCAGCTGACCGAGCCTGTGCCGGACCGCGACCTGCGCACCTGCCCCACCCACCACAGCCCGCTGGTCGCCTTCTGCCGCCAGGATGGGCAGAGCATCTGCCAGGAGTGTGGCCAGGAGGAGCACAGGGGCCACACCAAGGTCTCTCTGGATGCAGCCCGCAGGGACAAGGAGGCGAGTGCTTGGGTCCATCCGTCTGGGGGAGGGCAGTGGGGAATGCGCTCAGGGAGGGGCCCACACGCTGGGGCTCCGGGATCTGCCGATTTCACTCTTTGCTCTGAGCACGCCTGAAAGAAGGACTTTAGCCTCAGCACCTGGCTGCTTGGTCGGCAGCGTAAATATCTACTGCACTTGGCTTTGGAAACTGTTTGAAGTAGGTCACTCTGTCCCCATCTCTGCCCCCCCCCCCGTCTCTGTGCTATCTCTCTGTCTGTGCCTGTCTCTCCTGCTCGCTCATTCCCTGCGGTTTCTCGTGCAGCGTCCAGGGATTTGTGTTTGGGCGCGGTTTGCAGAAGTTCTGGGGCTTAGGGGAGTGGCGGTTCCCTATGGCTGGATCTGCATGGCACGTCCACTTTATATTAATGAAATGCAAAACTTGGCAGGAATTCAAGAGAAAAGAATAAATCTTTCCCCTAACTTCTCTTTTTGTCTTTACCCCCAAACAAGAGGCTAGTAGAATGAACAAGCCCCTCTGGAGATATCTGGTGTGAAATCCAAGAGCTTGAAAAGCACTAAGATAACATAAAATTTGGAACTTACATCCAGTTCTAATGCCAAGGATGGCTTAATTTAGGGAAAATAAAAGTTCCTCACCAGACAGAGGTATCAGGAGAGACTGAGAAACACGAGGCTCACAGCCTGTAACTGTATTTCCATCAGATAAGGAAACTGTTTCTAGAACAACTAGCTTTTCTTTGCCCTAAAGCTGAGAGCCTAGAGAAGTTCTTGGGAATTGATTTAGCAACTCTGTATGCTTTGTTTCTTCTACTGTGACTTTGCATGAGAAACTATTTTTCAGTAGGGAAAGGCAGTTGACTTTTGTCCCACATTCCTTATGCTCACAGCCTTGGCGGCTCCCTGTTTGCACTGCTCGGAGATGGCAGGCGCACAGCCGTTTCTTGGCATCAAAGGAAAGAGGTTTCTGGAAAAGGGGGTTTACTAGCTGGGGCCCCTCCTCTATACTCATCCCCAGATACAGATTTTATCCGGTGCTAGTGGGACTTGTTCTGGAAAGCTCTGTATTTCAGATGGTAATGAGTCACCATTTCTGGCCCTGGAAGCCACTTGCCAACTGTTTCTGGGATTTCCAGTGTCAGGGTCTGTCCTGTCACGAGAGCACGTAGATCAACAAATACATCAAAGGAAAAAGCTTCATATAATTTAGGAAAGTCGATTTCATTGCGTATTGCCATGTGCTAAATGCTTTTTGTGGGTTTTCTCATCCAATCCTCAAATAACTCTATGAGCCGGGGATTCACTATTTCCACCACACTTGTCCAAGCTCATACGTTCAAGTAAGTCATGGATTGAGGAATGGAAGCTTCTGGAAAGTCATCCTACTGGAGCGACATGCAGCAAGGACTCCAAAATCACAATATTATAACTTTACTTTTTTTTTCCTTGTACCAGAAATCTTGCCACACATACACTGGACAGATTAGGACAAAGTATACTGCTTTTCCCTTTGGGGATAGTATCTGAATTTTATTACTTTTAACCAGAAAAGTGATACATGAAGATGTTAAAAAACATCTCCACTAAACAATGCAACAGATTTAAGAGGGTCTCCAGCTCCTCCTGGATCCTCACACCCCTTTCTGCCCTCAGGGGCCAATATCATCTGTGGTCTATAGTTTGTTTCTTTTTAGAAATGATGCCTGTACCAACCCAGATACAATATACACTATAAAGAGGGGGCCTAGGGTATTACAGAGACTTGGGGTAATTCTAATTCCCAGCAGGAGGAGTTGTGTAGAGCATGCGAAGAACTCTAAAGTTCAGACATCCTAAGAGAGAACCATGTCAGGTCAAATGAGGACAGGTGGGAAAGGGGCTTGAGGGTAGTTTGGGCTGAAAAGCAACATGGCTATAGGCACAGTCCCATATCCTAGACTCCTCTGCTGAAAAGAGCCTTTCTGTACTATGTCCTTGTTTTCGGCTCGGAGAACAAGTTTACTCTAAGTGAAGTCACACTTTAGGTGGCTCCCCCAAGTCTTAAAAGCCAAAAGATTTCTTGCAAGGAGTCCAAGATACCAGACCAGAAGACACAGGAGGCTGCAACTTCCGCCAGGATTATTTTAAGAGTGTTAATGGACATAACTGAGTCTCCAGAAGCCCAAGCGTCCTTCAGCTGTCCCAAGCCTACTGGAGTTACTTGCTGAAGGTCACTGTGGAGCAAGCTGAGGGCTGGTTCCCCAGGCAGGCGTGCTGTGTATAGGAAACTGCACTCGGCGGGGGCAGCCGTGATGCAAAGCAGCTGAAATCCAGCTTGGGATCCACAAAATGACTAATTTCTTGGTTAACCAAGTGAGCCCTTTCTGAATCTCCCGTGGATTTAGCTATACCAGTGGGCAAAAACTCTGGGCTTTGAGAGGCAGGTGTTCTTTGATTATTTGTTCTGTCCTGTCAAACTTCCTCGGCACTTCCCTTTGACCTAGCCCAGCATCTCCAGGCCCCTTTGGTCTTAAGGGCAGCTGGGCTTGGCTGCTGGCTGCTGATTACTCTTACAGTCTCTGAATCTCAGGCTTGCTGCCATGCAAATGAGACTCTGTGTGTGTATGTGTGTGTGTGTGTGTGTGTGTGTGTGTGTGTTGGAAAATTTGGACTCCTCTATGACCACCGTTGCTCTTTGTTCTAACTCATGAAGCATGCATGGTTCTTTTCTGTTCTTTAAGTGTATCAAACATTACTGAGTGCTTCTATGGGCTAAGTGCTAGGCTGCACTGTCTGCTCTCTGGGAGCTTGTACTCTGACCAGGACACCAAGGTGCATGGCCTGGCACATTGGAGTGCCAAAGGGCTAGCACAGCACAACTGCCACATATTCAAAGGGAGGAGCCATCCCTGGGAGCGAGGTCAGGTCAGGGTTCCTAGAGGAGGGAAGACCGGAGCTGAGCCTTGTCTTAGATTTCTGGCACCACTAGTGCCAGGCCATGACATTCCACCTCAGCATTGGTCCCAGAAAGTTCAGGACTGGATGCTGACTGTGGACACTGTCTCCATGTCGAGCAAGCACCAAGTATCCGAGAGCCAGAGTGTTCCTGCTTGTCTGGGGAGCAGTCAGCCAGCGTCGCTCACAGCCTGTTTGCTGTGGTCAAGAGGTAGGTGACACAGGCCACTCAGGAAAAGAGTTTCTCCCAGAAATTTTGAGGAGTGTCTTGGTCTCAGTATTATGTAACTTGCTTTTTCTTAAGTATTCTTCCAGGCTATAAGTATTTCAAGAGCAGGGAGTGTGTGTCTCATTTGCCTGGCCTGGTATGTACTGGTACGTACTGGTATATAGTGGTATGTAGGTTTGGACCAGCTGACTGAGGATGTCCATGGGGACTCTAGTGCTGCCAAAGGCAAAGTCTCCAGAAGGGCTGACCTCACATGATTGGAAATACAAAGAACTGACCCCATCTGGGATTTTCTTCTCTCATCTCACTCCTGCTGTTCCTATTTGTACCTCTAATCCAGCTCCAGTCCACCAAGCTCTGGGTACCTCCTTAGCTCTGTAGACAGAAGGAACAATTCTGTTAACATATTTATGTGGTCTTGCACCAGAGGAGAAGCTAACTGATTTGACAAAGATCATAGAGCCAGCAAGTGGCGAGTCTTTGGACCTAAAATATTGTGCCTTTGGCACATTTGTGGTATTATCCAAAAGGCCATCAGGATAGCCAGTATAAATAGTAGAAAGGAGAGCTTTATTGGTGATATCGGTTTGCAAACCAGCAAGAGATAGTCTATGGTGTGCACTGAAGGTGCTCTCTCTCAGAAGAGGGAAGGGACAGTTTGGGTTTTATGCCTCACAGGGTCTGCATTACAACAGAATCATATATATCAGCAGGTTTTGGGGAAAAGCTATACATATTGATGAGCTGAGCTGAGTGCAGGCACAATGGGTAAGCCTATATGGAATATACATCCCGTGTTCACTTTGAAGCAGGGTTTTGGCATTAAAATGAGGTGGAATTTGGCTCTTTATGTCAAAAGGTGAACTATAGGACACAAAGACAGTTTGTATGCAGCCTGTATAAGCTAGCCGAAGCTGGCTTAAGGTCTGCATTGCTTATCAGAAAAGAATGCTTGCAAGGCTGTCCAACGTCCAGTCCGATTTGCAGTGGGGTGGGCTATGAATCAGAGTTAGGCAGTGTCTGATAATTTGCCTGACAGCTCCTGTTGTTAGGGAGGTTAGCAAGAGTGTGGGTTTTCTTATAGCTGCAGGAATTCAGAAATTTGCCATGCCGGCTGGGCCCTGAACCCTGGGCCAGTATCCGCTGTTGTTTCGTTGCCCTTAGGCTCCATGCTAGTGGGTAAAGGGGCATCTGCGTTGGCCGCTCAGACCACAGCGATGGCCTCGCTGAGGGAGGAAGGCTGCTCCGCGCTGTCAGCGTAGGGCTCCCACGCTCCTAGACACTCTGTCCTGCTCCGTGCGGGGCCCACCCGCCCCGAGGTGTGTGTGGCTGACGTCTTGGGAAATCCCGAAGTGGAGTTTGAGGCATCCCATCATTTTCTAGAACAGGAATAACTGGAGACACAAGTCTCCACCAGTGGCTCCACCTTTTGTGGTAATTGGGAGTGCCTTCCCTTCTGGTGACTCACTCAGAGTTCCCCAGGAGGTCCATCGGAGCCCTCTTCTCCTTTAATGGCAGTCTGCAGATGGCAGAGAGACGCTGCCTGCTCCCTGAGACCCCGGGTGTCTCCCTATGGCTTCGCTGCCGCCGACTGCTTTGCCGTATTCGGGGTCCATGCTGTTTGGGTGCTGCTGAGGTGTGTTCTGTTGTGTCTTCACCACCTTCAAGCAAGCAGTTCATGTGTCACCCTCCCCCAGAATGGGTCACTGTGTAAGCCTTTCCAGTAGATCAGGATTTCAGGATTGGCCCCAAATTGGCCAGACCCCCACCCCCATTCCCAGGCATCCGGTTTCAGGCATCAGGGTGACACGTCGCTGGGGCTCCCTCAGCTCAGTGACCTGGAGCCTGAGCGAACCGTCGTGCCTTCTGCAGAGCATCCTGGAGAGGCGGCCCTGCCTGCTGCTGCTCCCTTCATGGGGCCGGCCTCCCTCCCCCCAGGCTTCAGTGGGAGAATGAAGAGACGGATAATTTCTGCCGTCTGGGTTTTATTAGGGCATAATGACTCACAGCTTTAAATGCAGACAGACGCTATTAACAGTGAAAGCTTTTTGTTGTTGTTCCTATCTTGCTTTTAAGGAAGTAGGAAGGTGACAGGACCTTTGAAGTTTACAAAGGCTTAGGTTTTGTGCCTTGGCACACTCCTTGGCAGAAGGTGCTTAGTGAGTCCCTGGAGGTGAGAGTGCAGCCGGGGCCAAGCAGGCAAACCCCAGGTTCTCGGGCAAGCACTGGCCATGGCTGGGGGTGGCTCTGCCCAGAGCCTGTGAAGGAAAGTAGCTGTGGCAGCAATAATAGTAACAACAGTGGTGATGATGATGATGGCAATCGCTGGCATTTATGGGGCACTTACGATGTGCCTGGTACTATCCAAATTCTTATTAACGTACATTATCTCATTCAATCCCTTTTCTCATAATCCTATAACGTAGACACTTTATTTATCCCCAGCTCACAGGTGAAGAAATGAGTTTGAAGGCATTAGTCATGAAATAATAAGAAATATGTGTTTGGCTTCTGCCCCCATTTTCTGGCTCACAGCTCAAAAAACCCTTGGAATCTCTGTAGTAATAAGTATTTTTTTTTTTTGTCTGCTGGTGAGATGCCTGGTGGCTGGGCTCCTGGATACCCTCAGGATGGGGGCTAGTTGCCAGGGAAACCAACCCTGTGATTAAGGGGTTGGAAGGTTCAGCCCCATCCTCTGACGCCCGGGAGAGAAGTGGGGCTGAAGGTTGAGTTGATCACCAGTGGCCGATGATCATGCCTATGTGAGGAAGCCAAAACTCAAAACTCAAAACTCAAAAGGCCGGGTTTCCGGAGCTCCTGGACTATTGAACACGTGGGGGTGGCTGGCGGGTGGGGCTCCTGGAGAGGCCCCCAGCCCGGCAGCCCTCCCCTGGCCTGCCCCAGGCATCTCTCCCATGGGCTGTTTCTGAGTCATATCCTTTTTTAATAAACAGGTGGATGCAAGCAAAGTGTTTCTGTGAATTCTGTGAGCCAGTCTAGGAACTAATCAAACTTGAGGAAGGGATTTTGGGAACCTCTGATTTGCAGCTGCTTGGTCAGAAGCATAGAAGCAGCTGGACTTTCGACTGGCATCTGGAGGGGGGCAGTCTTGTGGGACTGAGCCCTCACCTGTGGACCTGACACTCTCTCCAAGTAGATAGTGTCAGAATTGAGTTAAGGCTTAGGAAGCCCAGCTGGTGTCAGTGAATCGCTTGGTGCGGGAAACAAAACCCACACATTTGGTCACGAAAGTTTTGTGTTGAGTGTGAGTATAAGAAAAAGAAAGTGTGCTTTTCCTACACGGAAGTAAATTTGTCCAGAGTCTCAACTGGCAGATAAAGAACTGGGTTTCCCACCTGGCCGCCGGGCTCCCGCCTGTTCTCATTGTGAGGCTGTTCTGGGGGCCCAAGCTCAACTCCACTGAGGAGCCCGGATAGTGGCTTGATTTTATCATCTAGGAAATCGTAATAATAATAATTTTTACCTAATATTGGTGTGGTAAGGATGATATGAGGTAATCCATATAAATGCTTTGAAATACTGACCAGCACAGTGGACGTGCCCAGTGCATTTGTGCAGATTTATGCTGCCTTCAGCCCCGGGAGGGAGCTGGCTCGCCACCGATGCTGTGTGGCTCCAGGCGGCTTCTGACACCAGCCTCAGACGTCACACTCCCTCTCAGAGGTGAAGGCAGAGACCTCAGAGTGGAAAGTGCCCTTTTCCATGGGACCTTCTGTGTGCACGGGCTCCTTCCTCCCTAACTCTCTCCTTTCTGCCCCTTAGGCTGAACTTCGGGGCACCCAGTTAGACCTGGAGCGGAAGCTCAAGTTGAATGAAAATGCCATCGCCAGGCTCCAGGCCAACCACAAGTCTGTTCTGGTAAGGCTGGTCTGCGTCCCCTGTCGGCTTCAGCACACCTGGCTGCCACTCTAGGGCCAGCCAGGCCCATATGGCGGTGTGGGACATGAGGCTGCAGGCCTAGCCTGGGGTCTACAGGTGCCTTGGGTTCCTCAGCAAGTCAGAATTTGGTACCATTGGCTACACCATGGGGTAGCTCACCTTGATACCTTGATGCCAAGATTTGATATAAAATTAGCTTAAATTTCCATACTGCCAAGTGATTTGCTTTTTAATAACATGCAGTGGAACCAAGTCTAGTCCTGTAAGAACAGCATTCTTATTTTTATTAATATATTTGAATTTGCTTTCTTGACCAGGAGAAAAGAGAGAGAGAGAGAGTGTGTGTGTGAGTGTGTGCGTGAGTGTGTGTGTGTGTGTGTGTGTGTCTAGGGCTGGGTGTTTAGTCAGAACTCCAGAAATTATATGTCATCTTGGTTTCTTCCATCACAAAAGTATGGTCTGTGTGTAAGTCTCAGAAGTCTTGCGTCCTGGCAGCCAGACAAAAGAGTGGAGAAATGCTGGATTAGTGGCTGCTCCATGAGAAGGCCAGTGGTGTGCCAAGCGCTAAGCTGCAGCCTCTCTGGTTTGTGGCCGTTTTGCAAATAGACTCCAAGTAGGCAGGAGGAGCCTCCAAATAGACTATAAGCAGTTCTGCAAATGCCTCTCATCAGTGGCAAGCCAATAACACCACGCAGAAGAGAATGCAAAGCACCTACCCTACAGCAGTGAGTCAGCAGTATCGTCTTTGTATACTGAGAATGAATGATTCCATCCATCTTCTATCCATACATCCTCCATCTATCCATCCACTCATCCATCCATCCATCTCCAATGCATGTATCCATTTCAACTTAATGTCCACCTCCTGGTGTTTATAACTAACTAGCTGCTGAAAGATGAAAAGTCTTTTTTTTTTTATTAGAAAAAAAATTTTTTTAGAGATGGACTCCTGGGCTCAAGTGATCCTCCCAAGTCAGCCTCTTGAGTTGTTGGGACTATAAGCATGAGCCACTGTACCCAGCAGAAACATCTTTCTTACCCACAATATTTTATAAAAGGAAGAAAAATAATTGTCCCTTTAAAGCCTTGTAAATCTTCAGAGATAGTTGATTTCCAGGCTCCATATAACTGGAGAACCACATGGAGCAGCGTACATTTTTCCAGCTCTTTAATTTTTAGACATTTTGATCCTTACTACTACTCAGTTCTCCATGTAATCACATGGGGACCAGAGGAGTAGCTCTTACAATGCCACCATGTACAAGGGCCATGAAGACCCAGAGGGATGAGAAGACTTGTCTGGGGCCCCCAGACTGGCGGAACAGGAGGGCCTGGGCCTTGTTCTCTCCACCTAAGAACGCCTCAGCCTGTTGACAGGCATATGCACCACCCTAGGTCTTTAAACCATCAACTGTTGGCTACTTTGACAGGTTCGTGGCCACTCCTGCCTGTACTATTTACTTGTCATCGTCTGGGCAGTAACATCCTTCCACACATACCATTTATATGCAGGAAAGAAGTATTTCCCAAGGGAAGGTTCGGGAATGAGGCGCCACAGCAGGAGTCAGTCCACCAGCAGGATGTGAGGCCGCCCTTTCACCCTCCTCCTGAGGGCGGCCTCTGCGGTGGGGGGGGCTTGGATCTCGGATCTCGGATTTTGTCTTTAGACTCAAGTGTCTGAGCCTCATGGCATCGAGCTTCCACCAGGAACCCACGCGTCGTGGTGCTAGAGGGTAAATGGACTCACCTGGCCCTGCTCCTGCTTTCTGGGCCTGTGACTCACGGGGCCTGGACACCTGGAGCCCGAGTGGGTGGGGAGGCTGAGTAAGCAGGGAGCTGGGATAAAACACCGACAATGCTCCCCCCACTCCCAGACGGCTGAGCAAACCTCGGCTGACTTCTGAGGTCGGTTTCTCTGTCTTTACTTGTTGGCAACATGGAAATATAATTTGACATTTAGATTTAAATCCAGTTACGGTTGTCTCAGTGACAAGGAGACAACGCCTGTAAAAGTTGGTTCAGGAATTGCTGGGGAGACTTGGCATCATTTTCTTTTGGTCACCTGCCCAGCAGCAGCCTGCGTGTTTGGCCCACTATGGGTGTAGCTGGCGCCCCTTAATTGGTGCCCACAGTGACCAAGGAGCTAAGTCCCATCCCTTGTCTGGTCCTGGGAGGGCTCTAGTCTATTGAGCTGAGGCCCAGCCCTCCCTGCAACCCCTACGTGGAACCTATGGGCTGAGGGCTCAGCCGATCCACCCAGTCCCACCCTAGCTCGTCCTAGTGAGAGTGCCACGTCCACAGGGACAGCTGTGCCCGCCGAGTGCTGGGCTGCAGCCACACGGAGTCCCTTCAGTCCCTGCCGCATGGCAGTGTGGAGTGGCGGTCAAAGGGACGGGCTCTGGACAGGCTGTCTGGGACCCCTTAGCTGTGTGATCCTGGGCAAATCACTGCAGTCACTGGGGTCTCAGTTTCCTTGTCTAAGAAGTGGGGACCCTAGTAGTGCCTGCCTTTTAGGGTGGCGAGGAGATAACATGAGTAAGGTGTTTAGAGCAGGGCCTGGCACACAGTGAGACCCAACTACGCATTGGTTGTTATTGCGACTCCTGTTTTATGTAATTAAAGGGGTGACCAGGTGGGCAGCAGAGGGTTCTCGCTCCCAGGTGAGCAGAAAGTGGGGGGTTGGGGGTGTCAGAGGGCTGCGGAGGCTTCGCTTGGCAGAGCCCTGGCAGCAGGTGTGCTGCTTGAGGGGCCCAGGTGGAACCCAGGTGGCTTCCCTGGTCCTCAGGTATTCACTCTTCAGACAGTGCTCTGAATCCCCACCCCAGAGCCCAGAGCCCAGAGCCCATTCTCTGTCTGCCTTGGTTTCCCCATTGTCCCCACCCACCTCCATCCTACCTGAGAGCTCTTCACAACCCCTTCAGGCGCGGCTGTTCCTCCTCCCAGGGGCCAGGGCCAGCCCCGAGCATCCAGGGCTCAAAGGGAGCCGCGGCAGCAGCTGTCCTTGGGCCTCCCAAAGTGCCCTCACTTCTTAACACTGCCATCTGCTCCAAGTTTCTTCCCGGTGTGGGCTCAATGAAATTCGGGAGGAGGAAGAGAAAACAGCAGCTGGAGGGGCTGCTCAGAGGGCTCTCGCTCTCGATGGGAGGGGGCATGCGGGACAATGGCGAGACTGGGGCAGGCAGAGAATGGGCTTCGGGCTGTGGGGTGGGGGTGGGGGTGGGGTAAAGGGAACAAGAGCAGAAGAAATTGTATCTGAGACCTTTATATGAGGTTTAGCAAGATAGTCAGTGTTTGTGGGCTGTGGGGGAGTGAAAGGAGTCTGAGCAAAGGCAATTGTGCCCAAGACCTTCACATGAAATTTAACAAGGTAGTTAATATATGTGTGATGAGTTGCAACTGGACAATAGCAGCAGAAGCTTTCTGCACTGATACTTAAGAACTGCCAAAGAAAAGAAGAAAACAGGCCGGGCATGGTGGCTCATGCCTACAATCCTAGCACTCTGGGAGGCTGAGGTGGGAGGTTTGCTTTAAGTCAGGAGTTCGAGACCAGCCTGAGCAAGAGCGAGACCCCGTCTCTACTAAAAGTAGGAAGACATTAGCCGGGCATGGTGGTGTGTGCCTCTGGTCCCAGCTGCTTAGGAGGCTGAGGCAGGAGGATCCGCTCGAGCCCAGGAGTTTGAGGTTGCTGTGAGCTAGGTTGACACCACGGCACTCTGGTCCAGGCAAAAAGAGCAAGACTCTGTCTAAAAAAAAAAATATATATATATATATATACACACACACACACATATATGTATGTATATATGTGTATATATATATAGGAAAACATTTAGAGCTTAGATTGTGTGAATATAATATTGATGGAAGGCATTCAGAAAGGATGTTCGCCGTGTGGATGAGTTCCACATACACAAGCATCATCATGCAACCCTTTAATATCTGTCACACTGATTTTGTTTTATATCTCATTTGAATGTAGCATTCCATTCTGCATGAATATGCTCATCCTGCAATTGCTTGGGTGCCGTGGTTGTCTATTCACACTCTAAACATTTTGTGGCAACTCTGTGCCTGGTAGAGACACTATAATCTTAGCTGTGCTTTTGGCTCTGATAGACTCAGTGGTCAGTTTCATCAGGCATAATGAAATGCTAAGAAAACTAATTCATGCTACTGATTTGTACCAAAAAGCCAAATTGGTAATTTGCTTCTTGAAATATGACTATCAAGTATACTGAATATTTATCCCTGTAGGAAAATCAATTTTAGAAACTCAATTAACAGTCCCAGACTGTCAGAGTTGGAAGAAATCTCAGAGGCCATGTAGTCATTCGCTTTTTCATCAAATGGATGAGGAGACTAAGTTAACAAGAAAATCATTTTTCCAGGAACCCAGAATTCATGTGAGAATAAAGGCTTCCTTTTACAATGGAAAATTGCTCCCTAATTTACGGGTTTCTCAAGTTTATGTTTCTGCATGTTGAGTGTTGATAAGGTTGGTTGCCTCGCTGACAGGTGCTTGGCTGTCCCCACCCCATCCCTGCCAGGTGTCAGTGTCAGAGGTAAGAGCGGTGGCCGAAGAGCAGTTTGGGAAACTCCTTGCTGCTGTGAGGAAGGCCCAGGCCGACGTGATGCTCTTCTTGGAGGAGAAGGAGCAGGCTGCTCTGAGCCAGGCCAACGGCATCAAGGCCCACCTGGAGTACCGCAGCGCAGAGATGGAGAAGAGCAGGGAGGAGCTGGAGAGGGTAGCGGCCATCAGCAACACCGTCCTGTTCCTGGAGGTACGGGGCGGGCAGGGGCCGGGCTCAGCCTGCTAGGCTGTGACAGATCTGCGAATGGCAAATCTGCTCTTTGATAAATGGGGTACACAGGGAGCTGTGGGAACAGAGAGGGGCAGATTTTAATTCAGCGGAATACAGGAGGGTTAGGGAGGGAGGACTGCTCAAAGCAGGGAAGCTTGAAGCAGGTCCTGGAAGATGAGTCAGGTTCAAGGTGCAGTATGCTCCAGGTAAAGGGAACAGCATGTGCAATGGCTCAGAGGTTTAAGAACACAGAGCTGACTCAGGAGGCGAAGACACTTCCACAAGGGTGGAGCACAGGATGCGGGGAGCATAGCCCTGGGGTTGAGGCCAGGCAGGCATCTGGCTGTGAAGAACGTGATGAGAGCAGTAAGCGTGTTTTGTAAAGCGCTCTGCTGTCGTGGTAGGTTGGTGGTACAGAGAGGCTTGCCTGGCAGGGATGACATGGAGCCCTCTGCTTTTCAGAGAGGGCTGTGTGTGCTGGCGCCATGGAGGAAGGGTCAACAGAGGAGGCGGAACTTTTCATTATAATTTATCATTAGATATTAAGCCACAGGCCATCAGAGCCAGATCCAAAGAACACGTGCTCTTGCAGGAAAGGAACACTAGTGTGGGGTAAATTCTGTCATCCTGGATCTGTCACTAAACAGCTGTGTAGGTTTTAGGAAGTCATTTAACCTCTCTGGTCTCAAATTTCTCATTTATCTGGTGTAAACAATTTATAGAGTTGCTTATAAGTTTTAATATTCCAAAATACAAATGATTTTTCTTACTTGCATTTCTGAAAAAATTCTTTTCTGGTTATAATAAACATAAATGTTTGTTGTGGAAAAACTTGGAAAATACAGAATGAGGGGGAAAAATCACCCACAATCCCAGAACTCAAAGACAGTCATAGTTTTAATGAGTAAGAGAAAGAGAAGCAGAGAAAGATAGACAAAAACACTGACAGTATCTCGCTTTCTGTCAGTTTAGTTGCTTTTCAATATTACACACGCAAAAAATAAATATTTGGCTTTCTGTGCCATAAGTTTCTCCCAAGATCTCCTACTTAAAGAGTATATAATTTCTCTTTGTTTTCTTTTCTCCTTTTGTAACTTTACTTTTAACATAAAAACTTTAATATGTATAAAATAAATTTTATTTATTTTGGTGAAAGATAACTTATTTTCCCCCAAATTGTTAGTCAATCAAAACAATAACATTTATCGAATAATTCATCCTTTCCCCTGCTGATTTAAAATGCTACTTTTGACAGGTACAGTACAAATCTATATACAACATTAATAGTTGATTTATCTTTCTTATCAACTCTCTGCTTTGGACTTCCATGGCTCTATCTAACCATTTTGGGATAAAAATGGTTTTCATCAGTGAGTTTTCTGCTCTTTAATGCTTCAATTAAGTCTGAATTTTGATGTTGTGTTATGCCTGAAATCAATCTTTCCTGATCACCACATTGTTTTGAAATTTAAGTGGCTTCATGTGATTGCTTATGTGCAAACACTTTCCAAACTCTTAAGCACAGTATAAGAATTACAGAAAATTATGCATTGGATTAAATTAATAAGGAAAAGGCAGCATTCCTGCCCGAGTACTTGTTTGTGGATCTTCAGATACTGCAATCAGCTCCTCAATTCTCCACCACACCATGGCTTGGGTTTAAATTATCCAAAAAAATTAAACATTAAAAAGAAATTTTTAAAAAGAGCTGAGAGAATGAACGGAGCAGGAATGTTCTTACTCTTTGGCCTCCAGTCTGGCTGTGCATGGGAGCTATTCGTGGACGTCTAGTATCTTTTGATTTTAAAAGACTTGCTTTTCTTAGGGTCTAGCAGCACAGAAAAATGCCTTCTATATTGTCAAACCCTGAGCTGAACACTTTACATACGCTTTCTTTGTGAAGGACGCATTACTGTCAGCCCGTGGCACAGATGTAGAAAGTGGCGTGCTGCGGAGAGCAGCCTAAATTAAGAAATACAGGAACGAGAGCACGTTCTGCCGTTCCTTCTCTGCAGGAGTACCGCCAGTTTAAGGAGGCGGAAGACAGCGACGCCTTCCCTAGTGTTTACATAGGCCTGAAGGACAAACTCTCGGGCATCCGCAAGGTCATCGCGGACTCCACTGCACACCTCGTCCAGTTGCTGGAGAACTACAAGGGAAAGCTCCAGGAGTTTGCCAAGGAAGGTGAGAGGCTCTCTGGGCCCCGAGCGGCGGTAGGTGTGTGACAGGTAGTGACTGACAGGACGGTGAGAGTGCCGCAGAAGGGGGGGTAGATAAAGGGGAACGTGTCATTTCCAAAGCCATCCTTCAGAGGGGCCGTGACTAAGGGGCCCTCATCTTGGTGCTTTATTTTACAAGTTAGACCAAGAGAAGGTAAACTGGTCACATCATGGCACTTCCATGACTAGCTCCTCAGGTTGCCGCTTATACTTTTAAGTGAAATCCAAGTTGGTGTGGGATCTTTTCCAGCAGATTTTGCCTTACTCAGGAGGGAAAGGTTGTCCCTCCAGCATGCTTCCCTGAGACGTGACCAGCTCCAGCCCCTTCCTGCCCCAGGGAGCCCAGAGAGGCGTTGCTGGGAAGTCCTGCTGCCCTCATTCTCCCGACGGCCTGGGCAGGCGTGCATTCCTAACTGTCTGATTTTCTAGAGGAATATGACATCAGGACTCAAGTGTCTGCTGTTGTTCAGCGCAAATATCGGACTTCGAAACCTGAGCCCAGCACCAGGGAAGAGTTCCTCCAATGTAAGTCAAGGACAGCTTCCCCTCCCCTGTTTGTTGATGTCAGCCTAATGCTTTGCTGAAGCAAGAACCACCGCCTCTCATGTAGGTTTCAGGTTCTTGCAACCTTGTGTCTATCCCTAAAGGATAGACTTTTAAAAATGCAATTAAAATTTTTTTTTAACTTTTCATTTTGAAATAACTTAAAACTTACAAAAATGTTACAGAAATAGGACAAAGAATTCCCACATACCTTTCACTCAGCTTCTCCAAATGTTAGCACTTTATATAACTATAGTACCTTGATCAAAACCAGGGAACTAACATTGCTACAATGCTGTTAACTAATCTACAGAATTGATTCAGGTTTCACCCAATGTTCCACCATGTTCCTTTTTCTTGCCCAAAGTCCAATCCAGGATCACAGATGTTTCCATGTCTCCTTAGTCCCCTCTATTGGGGCTCAGTCCCTCAGTCTTTGTCTTTCATGACCTAGGTACTTCAAAGAGTCCTGGCCAGATGGTTCATTTTTAAGTCTGGCTTGGCCAGAATTGCATAATCCATTGTCCTGTCATCATGTGGTATTGATCTGGTCTGTTAGCATTTTAAAAAAACACTGTACTGTTGACCCACGAACAATGCAGGGTAGGGGTATTGATTCCCTGTGCAGTTGAGAATCCACATGCAACTTCTGACTTCCCAAACACTTAATACTATAGTAATCGCCTACTGTTGGCCTGAAGCCTTCCAGATAACATAGTCAATATATGTTTTCTATTATATGTATTATAAACTTCATTCTTACAATAAAGTAAGTCAGAGAAAAGAAAATGTTAAGAAAATCATAAGAGAAGATATATTTACTATTCATTAAGTGGAAGTGGGTCATCACAAAGGCCTTCATCCTCATTGTCTTCCCATTGAGTAGGCTGAGGAGGCGGGGTTGGTCTTGCTGTCTCAGGGGTGGCAGAGGCAGAAGAAAATTCACGCATAATCGGACTTGCACATTTTAAACCATGTTCCTCAAGGGTCAACTGTACTTCTAATCAATACTTCATTACAGAATAAGTTCAAGAGATCTGTACAACATGATGACTAAATAACAATATGACATGTTCTTGAACATTTCTTACAGTAGGTTTTCAGTGTCCTTATTACACACAAAAAATAAGTACATGAGGCAATGCATATGTTAATTAGCCTGATTTAGCCATTCCACAATGCATACATATTTCAAAATATCATGTTGTATACCATAAACATATATAATTTTTATTTGTCAAATAAGAAATTAAATTAAAAACAGACTTCACTATAGTCAACACATCCATGAGGTTTCATCTCCTAGTAGAGGAAAGACTGGCATCCATGTAGTTCATGCTCATTTTTATGACATCTTTTTGGAACATCGAACGCTACCTCTGCTTGTTTTCTGGGGCTGACACTGGCTAACTGACTTGCAGGCCGCCTTTTCCTCTGGTTATGATGTGGGCCGAGGGTTGCCATGACTACCTCCTGTTCTTGCCGCGGTGCCTACTTTCTCCCAGGCTCTCCTGGCTCCCACACAGTTTCCTTCCTTCCTTCCTGCTTCCCACAGAAACACATCTGTATTTTACAGCGAGACATAGTTAATACAAGAACCCAAGTACCCTTTATTCTTAACATTAAAATAAAAATTAAACATATCTTTTTATAATCCATCGTTTTTGCATTACAAGTATCTTTTTTCACTCATGATATTAACTTTTCTCTTGTTAATATTATGAACTCTTGACCTTTTATCAACTCAGATTGTTTCAACTGTCCAAGTTCTGTGGCTCAAACTGCCAACTTGACCAGTGGGAGCCACTTTCAGGCGGGCCTCTTTTTCCTGGAAATGGTGGCATTCTGTCCTTGATGTTGTTAAAAGTGCCATTGCTTTCTGGCACTAACAATGTTCTAGACCCCTTCTCGTTTCCTTGTCCCGAGATATAGAATCACCTACTCTCCAAGGAGAACTGGATCCCCTTAGATGAGAAGAGTATTGTTGTTCCAAATCTGTGTGCTAAGAATTGCCAAAAGAGTTGGCTGTGAGCAAAAGTGCCACTACTGTGCTGTTGGGCCACTTCTAGTGACATGGAGCCATATACTACATGCCTTATTTTCCTTTCTACCTTATTAGAGTGTGTGTTCGTCTTTTCTTCCAGGGTGTGTTCTTATTGACCACTACGAATTTCTCTTATCTGTACATAAAGACGTTTGGAAAACTCTGGGTTAAACTGAGAGAACTTTTGAAATTACAAGATTTTAAAAATAACTTTTAATATGCTAATTCATTTAGCAAGTATCTACTGAGCATCTTCTCTGAGCTAGAGCCTGAGGAGAGTCCCATGCAAAATGTGGAGCTTATAGGTTAGAAGGACAAGCATGAAGCAAACACACGTGCGGATTTATTATTACAAACAGTGATGAGTGCCGTGAAGTTTAAAAAGCCACAGTGCTCTGAGAGAGTGACTTAGGATCACAGAGGGCGTCTCGGAGGACGTGAGTGCTCAGCCACAGCCCGAAAGATCAGTAGGAACCAACCGCCCAGCCTCAGAGCAGGGCAGCAGTCACATCGCAGAGGGGACAGTCTGTGCTGAAGCCCCAAAGCTGGGTGAGCCTGGAGCAGGTCTGAGGTCGGGGACACTGGGACACAGTTGAAACAACCTGAGTTGATAAAAGGTCAAGAGTTCATAATATTAACAAAAAAAAGTTAATATCATGAGTGAAAAAAGATACTTGTAATGCAAAAGAAGACAGTGGGGGACACAGGCAAGCGCCAGCCACGCAGGGCCTTATCCTGAGAGCAAGGGCAACATGATTCGCCTTAGCCTGTGAAACACGCGCGTGGCTCTGTCGTGGGGAGGGTTGCAGAGGAGGGAGAGAGGCAGCACCACCAGTCAGGAGCCTGCCGCACGGGCCCAGGCAAGACGGTGGTGCCTCAGCTGGGGACTGAAGCGCAGGCTGGAGAGAAGTGGCAGCACCTACAGGACTTGCTGCCGCCTGTGTGTGTGAAGGAGGGGGGTGAAGAGGAGGGCAGAAATGTAAAAACGACCTTGAGTTTGGCTTGAGCAACTGCGTGCGTGGAGACGCTATCATTCTCTGGAGTCAGGACGAGAATATGAGGGCATGTTTGAGAGTTCGCCATGCTAAATATTGGTCAGATATTTTTAAAAATCGTTGAACGGATCAAATATGAGTATACGAGTACCTACTTCCCCAAATCCTTGCCAACGCTGGGTAGCATGGTGCCTGGCTTGCAACACTTATTTGTTGAATAAATGAATGAGTAATTGAATTTATTTCTTGATTCAGTTCACCAAATAATACAGTAATAATAATTATTTATTAATTATTAATTTTTATTAATAATTATTAAAAGTAATAATTTGAGCTTCAGAAAGGACGGCAGCAGAGAGTGACTAGTGTTTTGTTTCTGCGTCCACTCACCTCTCTCCTGGGGGAAGGGCAGCCAGGGTAAACGGGTGGATGTTTTCTCGCATGTGCTTTCGAGACCAGCTGGGCTTGAAGCGCTCTGTCTGATCTGCTGTCAGTTCCCGAAACACTCCTGTCTCTCCTTCTGTGTCTCCTCAGACGCGCATGACATCACGTTTGACCCGGACACGGCACACAGGTATCTCCGGCTGCAGGAGGACAACCGCAAGGTCGCCAACACCTCGCCCTGGGAGCATCCGTACCCGGACCTGCCCAGCAGGTTCACGCACTGGCGGCAGGTGCTGTCCCAGCAGAGTCTGTTCCTGCACCGGTACTATTTCGAGGTAGAGATCTCCGGGGCAGGCATCTACGTCGGCCTGACCTGCAAAGGCATCGACCGGAAGGGGGAGGAGCGCAATGGCTGCATTTCCGGAAACGACTTCTCCTGGAGCCTGCAGTGGAACGGGAAGGAGTTCACTGCCTGGCACAGTGACACCGAGACCCCGCTTAAAGCCAGCGCTTTCCGGAGGCTCGGGATCTACGTCGACTTCCCAAGGGGGACCCTTTCCTTCTACGGCGTGGAGTACGATGCCATGACTCTGGTCCACAGGTTTGACTGCAAGTTTTCGGAGCCAGTCTACGCTGCCTTCTGGCTTTCCAAGAAGGAAAACACCATCCGGATTGCGGACCTGGGAGAGGAGCCGGAGAAGCCAGTGGAGGCTGCTGCCTAGACTCGGGTTCCATATCCCAGACCTCTGCTAACCACAGTGACCGGCAGCAGTCCAGTGCAAGCACCCTTGCACTGTGAGGGTGACTTGGGGCAGAAGTGTCTGCCAGTGGCAGCCGGCTCTGGAAATTGTCATGTCTGTGAAGAGGGGAAGGTTCTCTGGCTGCCCTTTTGTCGCTTCGTGCAGCACTGTCCTCTATATATTTGTAGTAACTGTTAGGTGCCAACGTCTCCCTTATTCTCTTCTGGTGACAGTGTCCTTTCTGCTCAGGTGAATGTCGCACTGTGCCCAGAAATAATAACCAGGAATTTTCAGAGTGGCTGAAAAGATCGCAGAGTCATCACAATAAATTACTAACGTAACCGTGTGTTTCCTGTGTGCTGGATGCTGTTCCGAGTGCCGCTGCACATTAACTCACTCAGTCCACACCGCTGACCCACGGGGCAGGTACTTCTGCCGCCCCTCCGTGCAGACGGAGAAGCCACGGTCCAGGTGGTGCAGGTCCAGGTGGTGCAGGTGGTCCAGGTGGTGCAGGTCCAGGTGGTGCAGGTGGTCCAGGTGGTGCAGGTCCAGGTGGTGCAGGTCCAGGTGGTGCAGGTGGTCCAGGTGGTTAGCTGACTTGCTCAAGGTCACTCTGGTCACACAGTGAGTGGCAGAGAGGGATTCAAAGTCATACTGAACTTTTTATCTACCATCTTGCCTTCCTCAGGAGATGATGGACATTGTATGTAAGGGAGTAAACTACATGGCAGAGAAGTAGAGCACCGCAACCCCTTAGAGCACGCAAATCCCTTTGCACATGCTGTATCTGACTCGGCCGTCCCACCGTGCCCTGGCCGAGAGCCCACTGCCTCTCACAGCCATTCATTCTGTTTTGGGACAGCAAGGACTAGAAGAAATGTCTTTAACACAGTGCAAGTTTTAGTCCCTATGACCTCTGAGAGGGTCTGTCTCCTTTCCTCAAGTCACCTGGATATGTGGACTTACCTGATTTCTCATTCAGAGGACAGTTCTTCGAGTGTTTGAGGACAGCTCTCAGGCCCCCCAGGGAGGTGTTCTTGTTTTCGTGCTACATTTCCTACTTTCCTTCATGGTCCTTTTCCCCACTGGTTGCTTCATTTTCCTTTCCACAAAAAAGCCCCCTAAGATTAATGGTGAACAGTCGTCAAACCTTGAGGAAAATGACACACTGTTGTTAAATAGATCTCTGAGGCCATAACCTGAAGGCCTGGTGCAATTCACCAAAAATAGAACTTCTGGGTCTTCTCCTAGGACCTGTGCCAAGGCAAATCTCTTCTTCTTTGACTAGTCTGATGGGCCCATCCAAGAGTATGTGACTTTAGGATTGCTTGACTTGTCCCATGTTTGTATCTAAGGAAATAGACAGTGTGGGATTTAAAAGGTTTTTTTTTTTTACTTTAATTTCATCACATCATTACTGCATGCTGAGATAGTTTAGGTTCATGATTCTGCATCTAGTATATTAGATGTCCTTCCTAGCCTAGTGTCACCTGCAAGATTTGCAAATCTTCTTAAGTCTTAACCTTGTTGATAAAAATATTGATGATGGTAGGGGCAAATCCAGAACTTTATAGCACTCAGTCAACAGCTTCTGGGTTTAGTTATACACACGCTGTGTGTGGGTAGAACAGTGTGATTATGTAGCCCCACCTTTTGCACCTTTATCCACTGGACATGATGAAAGACTTTTTGATGGCAGAAATCAAAATACACTATATTTGAGTTTCTTTGATCTTACCTGTCTAACAATACTTTCAAAAGAGAAAATGAAGTCAGGTTGGTCTTCCTGTTTTTTTTTTTTGTTGTTGTTGTTTTTTTAAATTTTTATTTAGAGACAGGGTCTGGCTCTGTTGCCCAGGCTATAGTGCAGTGGCCTGATCACAGCTCACTGCAGCCTTGAACTTCTGTGCTCAAGTGATCCTCCTGAGTACCTAGGACTACTGGCATGCGCCACCACGCCCAACAGGATCTTGCTATGCTGCCCAGGCTGGTCTTGAACTCCTGACTTCAGGCGATCCTCCCACCTCAGCCTCCCAAAGTGCTGGGATTACAGGCGTGAACCACTGCACCTGGCAGGCCTGCCTTGTTTTTTATAGAACCCCTGTGGGTTTTTGGCACTTGTCACTCCTTTTCTAAATGATCACAAAATATTTGATAAACCATTTTAGAATTCTGCTGTGGGCTAATGTCTAGTTTACTAGTCTGTTATTTCCAGAATCTACCTTAATTTTTAAAAAATCAAGATGATTTTGCCTATGCCCATCTTCTACTATTTTTCCTAGCTTCTCAAAGATTCCTGCCTGATTTGTAGTCATGTCGGTAAGTTGCATCAGTGTCCTGACATGTAATTTGTTTAGGCCAGAACACTGGAGCTCGTGTAAAAGAAACCATTTAGGTGTCTCCTTACCTGTCTTAAAGTTTATTTTCCTGTTAGCTTTTATTTTTGTCTATTAGTTTTCAGGTTCAAGACCTTTCTTTCTTGATATAAAAGATCAAAGCAAAAGTAAGAGTTGGGCATAATTGCTTTCTTTCTGTCACTTCTTCAAGCAATGAGCATATCTTTTTTTTCTTTCTCTTGGTCTGAAAACTGAAAATTGCCTAAAACAAATAAGAAACTAAGGAAAGAAAAGCAGAGAACAAAGGCCTATTTTACATTCTCGGGCATTTTCCCTAGCTGTATGAGCGTGTGCCACTCTTTTGTTCTTACCTGCCCTATCTCCTCTTCCATTATGCAGACTTATTAAATAAACACAATAAAACTAAATTAAACAAAAACCTGAGCTCATCAAGAGCTTGCTTTGGTGCTAGATGGTTTTGTTCCATGATCAGACCATTTGTGATTATAGAGTCACAGTGTAACTTTAACCACCATATCACTTATTCTTGTCTCAACTTTTTGAAACCCAAGCACATAAGGCATTCTCTTCCAGGAGTCTTATGAATTCTGGGTGAGTCCCCAGATTCATGATGAAATGATGAGATAGCAATATTGGCCCAACTCGGAGCCCTTGAATTGTCAACCTGTCTCGGCATGTTTTTGGAATGACCATCCTCAAATCAAGTCAATTCAACGTCTGGGGCATTGATAACGTGTAAAGCGCTGTGCTAGGCACCACGGTACAGTAACCCAGAAGATAACTGGCTTTGCTCGCAGCAAGATGGTTTAAATTAAAGTGGAAAGTGTTCATATGTGAAGAGCTAAATAGGAGTCTGCTATTAGAGACAATGACGGAGGAGGCGATACGTGTGTCCTGGTGTGCCGCTTCATTTCTCAGGCCGTCCTCAGTGACGGAGTTCTGTACTGTGTCGTCGCTGACCAACTTCCCCACTCCCGGGGCCGCAGCCGCCACGCCAGCCCCGGTAACCTCAGCTGCAGGACGGAAGGAAAGTGTGTGCACATTTCCTGCTTCTCACAGCGCACTCACATTTCGGCACCAGCTCCCCTCGGTCTGCCCCTGTGATTAGACATCTTGGGGCTGGGCAGGAGGCCCTCGCAGGGAGGTCCCCTGCGCCACATGCCCCTAATATCGGCGTGCGGGGCACTGGCTGTGTCAGGCTCGGGCGCTGGCCACTGCCGGTTTGGGGGCAGGTGCAGTTTTTATCTCTATTTCAGGCTTGCCCTGTAGTCTCGCTGAGAAAATCTCGGGGTCTCCCAGAAGGAGGGAGGCAGGCACTGGAAAAGAAGAGGGAGCACAAGGTCAGTACAGCAGTGGCTGGTCATTTGAGGTAATAATCATTTCCCCCAAATTTATAACTTAAGGCGTGACTCTGATGAGTACCTGAAAAAATGTGTGTGTGTGTGTGTGTGTGTGTGTGTGTGTGTATGTGTGCCCGCGCTCACCCATGATTTTACTGTCTCATATAAAAAAATAATTTCAAAAACCCTACCAAGCCATCGCACCCAAACTGCAAGTAACGCCTTAGGCACCTCCCAGGCATTGAGTGTTAGGAGCTGGTGCTTGCGGCTTGTCAAATCGCAGTGTGCTCTCCAGAAGGTCAGGTACAAACTGCCAGCCTCTCTTCAGACGCCTTCTCCTTTCCTCCTGCTGCTCCTCCTCCGTCTTCCCTACAGTCGGTCAAAAGCTTAATTTTGAAGTGAAACTTCATTTGCCCACAGGATGCTCCAGGCTTCATGCTGCCATGCTAAGGTGACCCGGCAGGTTTTGTGTGTTGGGCTGCTGGCCTCTGCCCTGACATTTCTCACTTAATCTTTGCAGCCTGTGAGGTAGATGCTATTTCTCTATTTTCTGGAATGACGATGACAACACTAGCTGCTCAGAGAAGTTATATAACTTGCTCAAGGCCACTCAATAATAAGTTGTGAAAGAATTAAGTAATTTATGCTTATTTCTGAAATGAAGCTACTTTCACAGATTTTGAGACACGAGCAAAGCTTACTTCTGTGGTTCTCAAACATGGCTTCCCGACCAGCAACATCCGTGTGTCACCTGGGAACTTGTCAGAATGCACGTTCCCAGAGTCGCAGCCAGAGCTACTGAGTCAGGAAGTTTTAACAAGGCCTCTGGGGGATTCTGATGCACACTTAGCTTTAACTTGTTCTGTGCTTCCACCACCAGGAAGCAAGTGTCTGCAAGTTTCAGGACAACAGAAAGATGTTTTTGGTCACCCCAGGTGTACCCTACCTGCCTGGGAGCGGGGGTGGGTCAGCTAAGTTGAGAACCTTCCTGTGCTAAGCTCTCCTGCTTCTGGATAATGAAACATTTCTAGCCAATGCCCTGTTTCCCTGCCTTCTCCTTTTCAAACCAAAGGGCAAATTGGTGAGTTGGAAACTCACTGGTTTCTCATGAACAAAAGCTTTTTTGAAAAATTTAACTTTGCCAACAAATGTGATACCACATGATGAGAAGGTGATGGATAAGACATCACAGCTTCTCCGTGTTCCCTAATGATTATAACAATACTTCTACAGCTTTGCACACGGTGCAAAAGCCCATTCATTTGACCCTGACAGCCACCTGGGAGCTGGGTGGGACAGTCCTCTCTGTTTTATGGAGGGGAAGCAGGCTGAGAGCAGTGAGTGGATTTCCCAGGGGTATAATTCACCCTCCTACCCTGCTCACGGCAGAGCCCAGCTTGCTTCTTCGTCCTTCTATCCTGAAACCTGTGTTCTTTCCTGTCTCCCTGCTGGCTGAGCAGGGCAGCTGGCTGAGCAGGGCAGGTGGCTGAGCAGGGCAGCTGGCTGAGCAGGGCAGCTGGCTGAGCAGGGCAGGTGGCTGAGCAGGGCAGCTGGCTGAGCAGGGCAGGTGGCTGAGCAGGGCAGGTGGCTGAGCAGGGCAGGTGGCTGTGGGGCCGACAGAGGGACTGCGCTGAACTGCAGAGGCTCGGGCCCTCTGGGGCAGTGTCAGGCACGACAGCAGAGGCAGTGGGGACGCCATGTCCTCTGCCCAGCCATGTCCTCTGCCCAACCACACCTCCTGGGTTCTCCATGCCATGTGGGAGGGCGGGAAAGCAAGTGGAGGTTTGGGGCAGTATGGCGAGGGGGTTTAGCCAGCATGATGATAAAACAGAATAAAGCCGAGCAGAAAGGAGAGGCAGGGCCTGGCGCGAAGCCTGCGGGCTGCTCGTGGCCTGGACATTCGAGAGATCCCAGCGCACTTCTCCTCCCGGGACTTCCTCCACCCGCTCCCGTGCCTCACTCCGATGAGCCCTGCGAGCCTGCCGCCTCTGTGGGTGCCCCAGGCGCCACTCCCCCACCATGGCCCCATCCCACCCGGCCATCGGCCTGCCCTCCGCCCAGGCCACATTCCCCACCCAGATCCCAAGGCCCCGGCTTCCTCCAGAGTCGGGTGCGCGGCCGCCCTCTGTGAGGAAGGCAGCAGGGAGCGGCCCGCGCCCCCGCTCGCTCTGGAGCACCCCTGGTCCCCCTGTTCTCAGGAGGCGCCCTTGTGTTTCCAAGAAGCTGTTTAGAAAAGGAGGTGCCGGGCGTGGCGATGGCTGCTGTGGCCCCTGGTGTCTGAGCACTGCGGGTGTGAAGGTGCGTGTGCTGCGGCGCAGGGGACGCAAAACGCGCCGTGGCTGACGTCTCAAGCCCAGTCTAGTGGGCGCTGACGAAAGGCTGGGTGAGTTGCTGTGTGTGCGCGCGCACGTGTGCGTGTGTGTGCGTGTGTGAGTGCATGTGTGCGCGCATGTGTATGCGCGTGTGCGTGTGTGTGCGTGTGTGCATGTGCATGTGTGTATGTGTGTGTGCGTGTGTACGTGTGTGCGTGTGTGCGTGCGTGGCGCTGAAGGGGATGGGAGGGGCAGGAGTGCTGCGACGCTCACCGACATTTCTGGACGTAATCTTCACACCGCAGCACCTGCGGGGAAGGGCGACCGTGTCTTCCACAGATCAGGAAACGCGTAGGAGAGGATTGAATTGCGTGTCCAAGGCCGCACGGCTAGTGAGAAGCAGTGATGAGATTCGAGCTGCTTGCTCTCTCTCTGACCCCCAAGTTTGTGGCCTCCGTGGGGCCGCAGTCTGCACTCAAACGTGGAATAATCGCTGAGCAGGTCATCACACTGCGTCCTTATGTATGTCAGCCTCACAGATTAACATCTGAGTGTATCTGAATCTTGAAAAAGAAGCTACTTTTGTTATGTGTCTGTTAGAAATAAAAAAAATTAATAAAAACAAGATACTTTTAGCTTGTGGCACTTCTGGGGGTAACAGGCCCCCCCTACATATTCAAAAGTCTGCCTTGGGCCATCCTCTCCTTGCCACCCTGCTTTGTCGTGTGGCTGCCGTTGCCTGTCCTCCGCCCACCCCTGCGGCAACCTCCACCGCCTTCCTCTAACTGCCTGGTCGTCAGACATGGGCAGTGGGAAGGATGCAGTAATGCAGACCTTGTGGCTTTATCTGAGGTAATAATAATGACAATAGCAGCAACAACTACGCAAATATATCAATATTTTATCTACTCCTAGGAGGTAGCTACAATTTTTATCATCTATCTTCGTCTGCTCCATCCTCCTAAGTACGGCAAATACGCTGAGCCTCAGAGCGGCCAAGTGTCCTGCTCAGCACCACACAGCTGCGAAGTACTAGCGTCAAGGGTTGAACCTAGTCTTGTCTGAAGTAGGAGGATGTGTCAGAGTGCCTTAGAAACTCTTTTTCTGGGCTGCCCAACATTTGCATGGGTACCTTGGCTGCAGTGAGGTTTCTGGCCAGTGTTCTAAAGCAATTAAATAACTCTCTGTTTTTACTTGGATGATGACTTCAGAAAATGAATATGAAGATACTCAGGATCATTGGGCTTAGCCACCTCGTAACTGAACAGCTGTAAACATAAGAAGTTTACATCTTATTTTATATTCATGAATATTTAAGAGTCATCAGTAATAACAATTGAAGATCAACACCAAGCTCTATAATATATTATATTTTTTTTCTTTAAAAGGAGTCCACATGTTACTTAAATTTGACTAACAGCATTCTTGTTGTTCTAGAAATGGGATGACCAGCTCTTTCAGAACATACAGCAACTGCCTCTGCATCGTGGTGCCAGGTTTAGGAGATTTACGGTAAAGCCGTGTTTCCAAGGAGGTCGGTTCAGAAAGCCAGCCTTCTATTGGCAGTTTCTGGGAGACAGACACTTTCCATCCTCCGCAGCAGTTTGCTTTTTCCCCAGGAGATGTTTATGATTGAAAGGGCTCAGTTTGGGTATTTATCCGTTTCTCCCGTCCCCCTGGTGTTTGCTGGCATTGCAAATGGGCAAGGCTAACATGAGCTGGTTGTCTCAGGATCATGGAAAACGTGGAGTTGAGGCTCAAGAACGCCCCGTATTTTCGCTGTGAGAAGGGAAACGATTCTGTCCCCGTGTGCCAGAAGTGTGAGACGTGTGTCTTGGCGTGGAAGATCTTCTCTACCAAAGAGTGGTTCCGGAGGATCAATGAGATATCGCAGACGAGGTTTCTAGTTAGCATTCTGGAGCAGCTAAATAACTTATATTTGTTACATTATTTCCAAAATATCCTTCAGGCCACACAGGGGAAGGATTTCATCTATAGCAGGTCCCGGATCAACCTCAGCAAGAAGGAGGGGAAAACCGTGAGGTACCCCTTGAACCAGATGTTGGATAAAACCATAGAACAGAAGATGAAGGAGATGCTGTACTGGTTTGGGAACAGCACGCACCAGACTAAGGCCAATTACACTCTCTTGCTTCTGCAGATGTGCGACCCCAAACTGCTGCTCACGGCTGCCAATGTGATCAGAGTCCTGTTTCTGAGAGGGCAGAACAATATCTCAGGTAAACAAGGGCCCACAAAGGCCACAGAGCAAGACCTCGGGAGCCTGCAGGGAGCTGCAGGTGTGGACGAGCTCAGGTAGATGGGGAGTGTCCAGAGTGCAGCAGGGTTCTTTGAGCTGACCCTTGTTCTGACACCTGATCCTGTTTACCAAAGGAGAAACTGAGGAATGTAACTTCCTTCGAGAAACTGTAAAATGGCAAATGCAGGAAGAAATACAGAACTTTTAAATGTCAAGCATTTAAAGTGGATTTTTGCATCCCTCAGACTGAGAAATGTCTGGTCTCTGCTTCTGACCACTTAGTTCTGCTGTCGCTCCTGCCTTAGGGACTGCACTGGGCTGGAGAGGGGGGTAAGGGAGAAGCTGCTAAATTGTTTTGCCTTCAGCTGCCCTGCCCAGAAACCAGGCCAAAGGTCAAACCTTGGGGCTTTTTTTTTTTTTATTCACTTCACCATATTCCTTGCTTACACATAAAATCAAACCTTGGAGTAGACTTTCTCCAAGGCTGGAGATAGCTGAAGGACCACCTCTATACAGGGTGGCAGTTCTCAAACTGTAGCTTGTATCTGGTCTCCAGGAGGGCTTGTTAATTAAAACGCAGACTTCTGGGCTCCTCCCCCAGAGCTCTGACTGGGCAGGTCTGAGGCGGGGCCCAGGATTCCCTATTTCTTTTTTTTGTTTGTTTGTTTTGAGACAGAGTCTTGCTTTGTTGCCCAGGCTAGAGTGAGTGCCGCAGCGTCAGCCTAGCTCACAGCAACCTCAAACTCCTGGGCTCCAGCAATCCTTCTGCCTCAGCCTCCCGAGTAGCTGGGACTACAGGCATGCACCACCACGCCCGGCTAATTTTTTCTATATATATTAGTTGGCCAATTAATTTCTTTCTATTATAGTAGAGACGGGGTCTCGCTCTTGCTCAGGCTGGTTTGAACTCCTGACCTCGAGCAATCCACCGCCTCGGTCTCACAGTGCTAGGATTATAGGTGTGAGCCACTGTGCCCCACCTGGATTCCCTATTTCTAACAAGTTCCGGCTGAGGCTGATGGCTGTTGCTGGTCTGGGGCCTCACTTTGAGAATCACTGGTTTAGGTGTTCGTGAGAGAATATTAGAAATGTCTGGCCAGCTGGTTCAGAGACACAAAAGAAACCAGAAGGGAGGCCAGAGACTTGTGATCAGGAGTGGTTGGGAGGGGGAAATCCAGGGTGGAGAAGGCAGGTGCTGGTGGGTCGTGGTGGGGGGTGGGGGTGTTGGGGTGGGGGTGAGCCGAGGCTGGGGAGGAAGCAGCCCTTTGGAGGAGTTTCAGAGTTTGGGCTCTTAAAGGTGCATAATTCCTATCGCCAGGGAGGCTTGACTTTGGGTCACATTTGTAGACTAATGGAATCCTAAAGAATTTTAAAGTTAGATGATCTAGGAAGCAATTAGATTGCAATATATGTCACTTCTTTAGTGTGTCAGGGTATAAAAGAAGGATAATATAGAATAAAAGACCTGGTGAAAGAAATTAGAGAATCCTCAGTTGTCAAAACTATAAATTAGATCAGAGATCAACTAGTCCAATTCCTTAATTTTATAGATAAGGAGGCCAAAGTTTGGGAATCTGAGGATTGGCTTAGGTCACCCAGCAAGTGGGCTGAAACCTATCTCCTCTGGAGCACCTTGCACTGGCCACACTCCCACAGGGAGGCCTGGTGTACACACGTGACGCGCTCCCACTTCCTTTCTAAGGCTCATCATGCACTGTGGGAATGGGCTATTTGTCTTGGATTGTGTGAGTCCTGTTAGCAGCCTTCCTTGTTTCCTAGGGAAGACTCTCTTTAAAAACTTAAACTTTCCTAGCACTCTGGGAGGCCAAGGTGGGTGGATTGCTCGAGGTCTGGAGTTCGAAACCAGCCTGAGCAAGAGCGAAACCCCATCTCTTCTAAAAATAGAAAGAAATTAATTGACCGACTAAAAATATATATACAAAAAATTAGCTGGGCATGGTGGCACATGCCTGTAGTCCCAGCTACGCGGGAGGCTGAGGCAGGAGGATTGCTTGAGCCCAGGAGTTTGAGGTTGCTGTGAGCTAGGCTGACGCCACGGCACTCACTCAAGCCTGGGCAACAAAGTGAGACTCTGTCTCAAAAAAAAAAAAAAAAATCAAAAACAAAAACTTAAATTTTCTAATATGACTCAAGGGAAGTTATTTCTGTCATTAAAGAAACTCAGTGAGAGCTTCCAAAAAGCAGTCCTACTTGAAGCTCCTGCCCACGACTCTCTCTCTCCTTGTATTAAATATCAATATGAGCCCTAATACATTTTGTATTGGAGATGGGCTGAAAGTCAAACGGGGGCCTGCTGAGATCTTTGCACAGAAACTCAGAGGCCCCAAATAAAAACAGACATAGCTGCCCTGTTCCGTTTTGTGTATATTTTTTTAAAAAGGAAGGAAAAATAAAACCATTTCTCTCCACCGCATTTTCCTCCACACACCTGCTTTTTAAAGAGCAATTTTGTCTTGGTCTTTTGTTTTTCAGGGCTTGATCAAGATACCACCAATGTGTATTTTTTACCCGAAAGAAAGTACAGCCCCACCTCTGAGACCTCACATGTCTATTGGGCAGCTAAAACTCAGCAGACATCCTTTCCTTTGTCCAGATCCTCAAGAAGTGAAAATGTGCAGGGGAGAGCATCTAATCCTGGTGAGTGAGCTCATAGCAAGGAAGCCCATGTATGTGAGATTGGGGAGTCCCGGTGGACTTGGAGGGGCTGGCAGGACAGTAGCATTTGGGGATGGTGGATTTTGGAAACTCACATTCACATAGCACCTACAATGTGTAGGGCTCTTTGATATTTTTTTCCTCGTCTAATCCTTACAGCTGGTAAGGGGAGGAGCAAGGATTAAAATTGGTCGGTATATTCTAAAGCACTTGTTTCACCTAGAGACACTAGAAAATAGAGATCAGAAAGGAAACTATCAGGGGTTTCCTTTGAGTCCTCCTGCCCCAGGCCACAACCCGTCACCCAGGCCCTGTACTCTGGCATGGTGGGCAGCTCTAGAATCTAGCCCATCGGCAACTATTTTTGTAGCATTGGATTTCAGTCTTGAGGAGGGAGTAAAAACAGTGAGGAATTAGGTCCCTGAACTCCAGGCCCTCCTAAATTGGGTTCTGAAGTAAGAAATGTACATGAAATATAGGAAACACAATATACCAGAGGAAATATCATAAGAAACACAAAGCATAGATTCTAAAACACTTTTTTTTATGGGAGATTTCAAATTTCAGAAGTAGATAGAACAGTATGAGAACCACCCAAATAACCATCACCCAGTTTCAACAATGATCAACATTTTACTACTCTTATTTTATCTGTCCCCCCTTTTGTGTTATAAATTGTTTATAATTTTTTTCTTGTTGCAATATTTTCAAGGAAATTCCAGACATCATGCCATTTCAGACTTTGCTAATATAGATGTCTCTTTGAACTGGGAAGGCTGAAAAGTACACGCATGTTTGGGTCAGGAGCTTCTTTTGTCATGTAGACAAAGAGGTGACAGAAATCCAGTGGCCTAAGGGTAGACTCTGATGAGCTTTATTTTGGGGAGAGCTTTTGGCAAGGACTTGTTCTTGGCCTGGAGTTATGACTGAGATAACTCAACCAAGTATTTTTCTCTGGCTTCATTCTAGAGGGACAATGGAAGAGTTCGCTGCAGTGTATTTCGGAGATGAATAGGCTGTTTACTGGGAAAGTGAGCATTGCCAGGTCTGGGAACAGCCCCTGCAGTCTGTTGGTTGACCTGGAAGAGGTCAAGGACGTGTCTTCTGTGTTCAGCAAATACCGAGACTTCATTCGTCACCTGCCCATCCACCTCTCCAAGTACATTTTAAGTATGCTGGGATGTACTAGAGGTTTCTCAGACATCTCCCATCTTGGCCCAGTTCTGGGGTTTCTGGGTCCATCTTTGTTTTTTTTCCTCCAGGATTTCTAGACAGAAACACCTTGAACAGGTGTGCTTTCGTGAGCCAGCACTGGGCCACCGTGGCTCATCAGGTCAGGATGGACATGTCGTCGCACATCTTCGTTCAGAACCAGATTTCTGTCTTGCAGGTACTTCCTGGCCGGGAGGGAGCCCCGAGACCCGCCTCACTTCCGTGTGGAGGCTGGCCTGACCTTTCCGTCTCCCTGGCAGACCCCTGGCTGGCCGCCCGCTCTGCATGGGGCTCCTTAGGCTTCCGCAGTCCCTTCCGTTTGGTCCGGACTCCCGTCAGTCACCATTTGCTCTCTCGTTGTCAGTGCGGCCAGCGGGGCCAGCATGCACAGAAACCGCTCAGGAGCAGAGAGGCAGGCCCTTTCCAAAACCTCGCAAGACAGGGAAATGTTTTGCCCCGGGGAGTTTTGTTGCGGCTTATGCAATAAGAAAGCCACAAGTATGTTTCTGCGTCGGCCTCATATGGCACAGAGACATTCACAAGGCCACAAAGTATATTTTTAGGTTGAAAGGCAGTTTCCCTCCGGATAGTAATCATCTCCAGCATCTTTAGTTCTTAGTTTCTTGCTGGAAGCCTCGTCCTAAGCCATGGGTTCTTGGTAGCTTGGGTTTTTCCCAGTAGAGAGGTGACAGGACGAGTGTAGTGTGGAGGCTGCTGCCGCCCGTCTCCCGCTGGCCCCCTGCAGGCATCTGGTGTTCTGCCCCCTCCTCCCATCAGTCTGCACATAGGGTGGCACAGCTGGCCGGCCGGGCCTTCCTTCCTCAGCCAGGGCTTACCCATCTTTCAGCTTTTGCCAAGAACTTTTTCCTTCCTCCTGGAGAATGGAAGCAAGAGCAGCCTCTTTCTGTCTTTCCCCAGGGGTCCTACACGAGGGGAATAAATCCTAATTACGCCAACAGGCTGCCTGTCCCAGTCCCTAAAGTGACAGATGAGGGGAAGCGTGCGCGTGCAAAAAGCCAGAAATGGAAGCCGAGAACGAAGGTGGGTTCCAGCAGCACCTGGGGACAGTGGCTGTGAGTGTCCCATTCTCAGCGGCCACTGAAGGCTGAAGCGCAGACTCAGCCCTTGAATAAGGACTGAGGACCACAGCAGGTAACGGCCCCTAAGGGAGACCAGAGTTCTTCCTGGTTGCCACTGACTTGCAAGTCACCTCCTCTTCTTAAGCCTTGATTTCCTCGTCTGTTGAATGAGCGGGTGATCTGGTTGTCCCCTCGGTTCTTCCTTACTTCAAACCCCATGGCATGTTCTGAGTCCACGGCCCTAGGCCACTTAGTGGAGAGTTGCAGGCCAGGAGCCACGCTGGCCACAGCCGGGCTTCCCCTCAACACTATCAGGCCTGCCTCTGGGGGCGGCAGGCGTGTGCGGCTCAGGGACAAGGACGCGTGGGGAGGGCCAGGGCTGGCCCTGGACGTCCAGGGCCTGGAATGAGTTCAGCTTCCTTGTCTCTCACTTCCAGGGTCCTTTTCGTTACAGGATGGGAGAGAGTTAATTGACTGTAGCCCTCCCCACCAATTCTTGGGCAGTGATGAAGAAGGGTAATTGGAAGGCTCTTGGGCTCGGTGCCTTGCCCGTGCAGGCCTGGTAGTCATTGCTAAGCCATTACATTCCTGCCCGCTCCTCTCTGCTCAAGGTCCCTCTGTTTCAAAGTCTATTCAACTGGCCCAAAAAGGGTACGAAATGAGGAGTGGCCGGGCGCGTGGCTCACGCCTGTAATCCTGGCTCTCTGGGAGGCGAGGCGGCGGATTGCTCAAGGTCAGGAGTTCGAAACAGCCTGAGCAAGAGCGAGACCCCGTCTCTACTATAAATGGAGAATTAGGAACACTATAAAAAATTAGCCGGCATTGGTGGCACATGCTGGAGCCTGACTTGGGCGTGAGGCAGCAGATTGCTTGAGCAGGTTGGCTGCTGGAGCTAGGCGAGCCGCACTCAGCCTGGCAACAAAGCGGAGCTCTGTCTAAAAAAAAAAAAAAAAAGAAGAAATGAGGAGTGATCTGACTGTAGCTCCCATGAGGAAGTTGTATGTTATAAATTAAGATTTGAGAGATAAAAGCATCCAGAGAGATGATGTAGCCTGCGTAGACAGACATGCTGGGGACAGACGGTCACTCGAGGGAGGAGCGGCGTGGGCAGTGGAGGGTGGGTGTGCTGTGGTGAGTGGGGAGTTGATCCCATCCCAGCAGCCAGTTGCTGCTCAGCTCCTGCCGATTATTGCCCTGGGGCGCTGTGGGCTTGCCCCAGCATCTGGCCTTCAAGAGAAGATAGAGAAATCCAAACTATCACATGAAACCTCTTTCCTAAATGCTGGCAACCAAATAAAAGCATTTCATAAAACGACGTGGGCCAGAAAAAAGCACATTTGTGAATCTCATTGGACCTGCAATTTTTCATTTCTGAGCTGGTCCACTCACCTATTTTATAGATAAAACAACGAGGCTCAGAGAGGTCAAGATTCCCTCCAGTTGATAATAAGGCACGATTCGAATGCAGACCTGCTCTTTCCAAGCCTGTTGGCTCTATTGAGTGTAAGAAATGCATGCCCTTCTTCCTTGGGTGAAGTAGTTATAATGGCCCAACAACAAGGACTGCTCAGAAGTGTTCGATGTTCTAGGAACGCATAAGTTAAGAAAAGGGAGAGAAATAGGAAAAGCAGCATGAGACTGGAGAGAACAGCGAGACTAAGCAGTTACGGGTCTCCAAGGAGGCTGTGAGTGCCCCGAGGGGAGCCACGGCCATGACACAGTGGCACGCAGGCATGGAGGACGGCGTGGCCATACACCATTTGCTTGGTATTCACCGTGGGTCAGGGAGGATCATCACTCCTGGTTTTATGGATGTGGACATTAAGGATGTGATGTCGGGAAACTTGCCCACAGTCTCTGGCCAGTGGTAGAGCTGGGATTTGAACCCAGGTCTTTTCCCTCCCAATGACTCTGCCAGGTGGCTTCTAGGCTCACAAAACTTAGGAGATGAGCAAAGCCAGGGAATTCCCGCCTGGGCCAGGAGAAGCTGGGAGGACGGGTTGGATTCAAGCCAGGATATGGGACGGTGCTCGGACACTGGAGGGAGGCAGGTTGGCAGAGTCCTCTGGGGCCGACTTTTCGGTGGGCATCGCTATGTGGTTAAAGATTGAGGAGGAGAGTGAGCGGAGGAAAGAGGGCCTCGGGGAAGAGCCTAAAGGCATGGAGAAGGCTAAGGTTTTGGAAGGAGACTTCAGAGGAGAGGTTCCCAGGAGGACTCTGGGCTGCAAACACAATCTGTGGGCTTCTTTGCTTTCATGATAAACTCAGTCTATCTTTTTTCCCTGCCAGTCTATGTGACTGTTATTTCCTGCTTTTTGAGGTGGTATATTGGCTGGAAGAAAAGTGGAACTGGGAGTCCAATTCAGTCATCTATGCCAGACTTTAGCGTGCCTGGCATGCCTTAACTGCTCAGGAAGTGTGCGATGGAGGAAGGAGGACGAGGGGAAGAAGAAAGGAAGAAAAAGGAGGAGGAGGAAAGAGGGAAAAAGAAGAAAGGAAAAAGGAAGAAGGAAGGAAATGGGAAGGAGGTAG